TTAAATAAAAGAGCTTTTATTCATGTTACAAGGGAACATGCAAAACTCACACGTACAGATGCATTTCATCTAGTCACGCTACTGCTTAAAATTAGTTACATAGAAATGTCCAATTCTACAATATGTACAGCTTTTAACTGGTTTCATAAAGTGACAGTAAAGTTAGTGAGACATGATTATTTCCAGAGAGCCTTGAGCGGAGTGCAGAAACGATTCCCACTGAACCCAGAGATACAGAAACACACACGTGAACATTCACAAGCTCAGATCTACTGATCAGACGTGCCCTCAAACGCTACTTTACATTAAAAACTAAACCGGATAAAAGACAAGCAGCCAAGTGCACGTCATTAATATCTGATGATCATATTTACTAAAAGCAATTGTATGGATCATATTATTGCTAGATCTGACAGTAATGTAGCATAAATTAATCTTCATTTCCCTCAGTTCATACAGACTTCAAATCATTTCTGATAAATATGTAAGAAACTTGTGAAATCAGGTCACAGCTCACGGAGAATCATGGGAGTATTTGTCAAAGAAAGCGAAGCCGGTTTTTATCGAGACCGTCTGTATTGTGACATGAATTGCTGTAAAATGAGCACATAGAGCTCCTCTCAAGTAGAGGAATATATCAATCTACTGCATTATTCTGGAAAACAAAGATTGATTTAAATCCAAAACCAGCACAATTAATTTTAGTCATTACAGCAATGAGATTCAGGCTAAAACAAGCCTTTTTAATCATTAAAACAGCGTCACAATGCAGAGCATCTTACACCGGGCTTCACTGTCTTCAGGTAAAGCATGATTGCTGGCCTGTTCCTGACGGGTCTCTCTGAGATGAAGCAGGTGCTGTGTGACTGAGCTCATCAGTGCATCAGTGGATCAGGACTGACCTCAGCAGAGTCCAGCGCCTCCTGCTCCTCAGAGCTCAGAGACCTGCGCCGCTGGAGCTCGTCGACTTCAGAGAAAACACACACATGCCATCAACATCTTTTCATTAGGGCTGTCGGTTTAAAGGGGTCATATGATGCGATTTCAAGTGTTCCTTTCTCTTTGGAGTGTTACAAGCTCTTGGTGCATAAAGAAGATCTGTAAAGTTGCAAAGACTAAAGTCTCAAATCCAAAGAGATATTCTTTATAAAAGTTAAACACGCTTGAGGTATTCGGCCAATCACAACGCACTGGATAGCTGGCCAATCACAGCAAACCTCGCTTTTCAGAACGATGAGCTTTGTAAAAATCGACGCGTTTCAGAAAGGCGGGGCATAGAGGAGAAACAATAATGTACAGTATGTGGAAAAGAATGTGTTTTTGAACCTTAAACCGCATAAACACATTTCATTACACCAAATACACAAAATAATATTCTTTTTAGCAACATCATATGACCCCTTTAACGTACATTTGGTGGATTATGTAAGAAATAACCTGTTAAAATGATTGCCTCATTACCGCAGCGCCCCGTTCACAGCTGTCCGTCTTACACTGATTCAGTTACTGATGATCACAGTGTCTATTACAGCGCAGTTAGATGAGCCTAAAGTGAGTCAATGATTCAATGACTCGTTCAGAAAGAGTCACTTGCTTTGTCTCTGAATGAATCAGCTGAATGATTCAATGACTCACTCATTTAGACAGTGACTCGCCGCCACCTACTGGCACTTTTAGTTTCATATTTAATTTTTATAAAAATGTCAATGTTCAATTTAAAATACATGAATACCCATTTGCTATCATTATTTATGCAAAGCTGAATCAAAATATTTAGCTTCTAAAGCTGCTTTTTTGTAATGTCTATTCGATGCTTTTTTCAAAACAATGACTTCAAATGGTCTTTTGTGGAGTCATTTCTCAGCCAGAACTGATGTGTGATTCATTAGATGAATTAATCAGCACATCATGTAATGAATTAGTGTAAATCTTTCAATCTTTGTATTTTGTGTGCCTCAGTCCTTCAGTGGACTTGTGTGAAGCAGAGGTTGGAATATAACACTCTTAACCAGATTGGGTTCACGCACCTCTCTCAGACTCGTCTCCGGGAGTCAGTGCTCGTTTATAACGTCTGCGGGACAGAAAGCTGGGGCGACGGGACGGAGAGGACCCTGCGGATCAGAGGAGACACACAGCGCTCATGAACAGATCCGGAGTCAGAGCAGCTGGATGATGCTGGAGCGGAGCACATACCTGCGGTCTGGAGCGTCTGGGTCACGGCCGGCTGCTGCTGCTGCTGCTGAGAGACACAGCACTCACTTATCTCTGATGCTTCTACACACAGCAACACCTTTTAATACCACCTTATCTGACATCTAACACCTACACCTCTGCTGGAAATACACATTACATTACATAAATATACCTAATATATAATGTGTTTAATGTAAAAAGAAAGCAAAATATCATCGCTGTCATCAATTATATTTATTATTACGATATACAGTGAACTTTTCATATCAGCAGACAATATTCCACATAAAATATCCCCACAAAAGCACCGCATCACCGAGATTTTTGGCGGTGTAAACAATTTATTCTGAAGCAATATTTTAATCAGTGTTCGATCAGCTTTTACATAACTACTTGTTTACTAACCTAAAATCAATGTGACATTTGCAATCGTGATGATAATATTTAGCAAAATATCTCCTTTGTCATGGTATGTTACTTAACTATATCATGTTATACATAAACTACACATTTTGAATATTTCCCTCAGTGTGTAGTTATATGTAGTGAGTTTTAATGTGTGCTGTTACGCTCATTTGTTTTGAAGTCTCTCACAAAGACAGAGGCAGCGTGAGCTTGATACCAGAAATATACTATTTATTACCAATCGCCGTTTACGCTGAATGTAATAAAATCAGAAGAATCATTCTCGCCTTTCGATGCTTTACTGGTTATTTTTTGTCACGTAAGTTTTAATCAGTTTATTTGTCCCCGTTGGGCAAGTAAAAACCCATTTTAAACTAGCTAGAAGGCTGGTCAACTAGCTGTGTTTTTTTTACAGCAATGTTTTCTGATGACGCAGTAACCACTGAGGGGGAAATAAAAACATGTTCGGTCTGTCACAGGGTCAGACACGCTGGACAGAATCTTAGCAGTAATGTGACCAAAACTACTGAAGACCCCTGGAATCTGAACGTAAGAGGTTAGAAGGGTTTGTAAGGAGCTCCTGATCTCACCGTGTCTCTGGACTGGCTCTGGTCCAGCGCTGACAGCCGTCTGCTCAGGTCTGACAGAACGAAGCGCACGCTCTGGATCTGCTCGCTCGACCTCGACTCCTGCAGCAGCACTGAGCTGTTCAGATCCTTCACACCGTCCTCCAGATGCTGCAGCTCCTGCGACACCAGCCAGTGATTACTACAGCGCTCTACACCAGACAGATCCGCCAGCAGCTTCAGAGCAAAGACTGCAGCATCATTATCAGTTCAGCTCGGAGCAGCAACGCTTGATAACGGTTTGATAACAGTGTCGATGCTGCAGGAAGACTGACAAGAGTTCAGCTTGATTCTATTCAACAATCACAGCAGCATCACACAAAACAGCATTGTGGGTAACAGAGACCTGACGTGTTTAAAAACAGGACATTTCGAATTAGGCAGAACTATTTTTATTGATAATTTTACACTTAGTTTGCAGTGCACTCTGGGATGGTCTTGTCTGTGAAGGGAGCATGCGATGTTGTCAGAGAATGAACTTATTACCGTGACCCTGCAGGGGACGAGTGGATGGATGGATAGATGGAATTACCTTAATTTTTGAAATAATTTTTTTTCAAGATTTGTTTTTGTTTATTTTTGAATAGTTAAAATAAAATTGTCAAAAGGAATGTGTTCCAATAGTTTTTGCTATGGTATTTACATTGGTACTGAGAAATCTTACTGGTATTATTGACTACTGTCATTAGATATCGTGTCAACACTAGCAATGTTTGAACTGTAATCTCACCATAAACAGACCACGGGAAGTGTTTATTAACTAGTGAATTTGGTAATGTTGGCATCAGACTCACTGGAGACGTTCAGTGATGTGTACAGAGAGATCTTTCTCATCTCATAACATTCACCTCAAGCTGCAAAATACCATTCAGAACTCTGGTAAATTTGAGCACTTATGCTGTGGTGCTGGAGATTCATAATCACAATCGAAGTGTTACTTGTGTGTGTGTGTGTGTGTGTGTGTGTGTGTGTGAATGCGTGTGTGTGTGTGTGTGTGTGTGAATGCGTGTGTGTGTGTGTGTGTGTGTGAATGCGTGTGTGTGTGTGTGTGTGTGTGAATGCGTGTGTGTGTGTGTGTGTGTGTGAATGCGTGTGTGTGTGTGTGTGTGTGTGAATGCGTGTGTGTGTGTGTGTGTGTGTGAATGCGTGTGTGTGTGTGTGTGTGTGTGAATGCGTGTGTGTGTGTGTGTGTGTGTGAATGCGTGTGTGTGTGTGTGTGTGTGTGAATGCGTGTGTGTGTGTGTGTGTGTGTGAATGCGTGTGTGTGTGTGTGTGTGTGTGAATGCGTGTGTGTGTGTGTGTGTGTGTTTACCTGTTTCAGTGTCACACAGCTGCTGCTGTTCACAGGTTTCTCTCCATTCTTTAATCAAGAGAAAACCATTATAAATAAGCCTCACACTGAACACACATCAACACAATCACATTATAAAAACTGATATGAAGCACATCTCAGAAATCTAAAGCTACTAACATGTTGTAAGGTGAACTCTCTCTTCAACAAGTGTCTCTGATCTAAGCTTTGGAAGAGAAACATACACAGAGAGCATCTGAATGAAAACAATATAGTACTGTTTAGTAGTGAAACATACAGCGCTGTCCTTCAGCCGATCTTCTCCTTTCCTTCTCTCCTCCACCACAGACTGAATCATAGAGACATCGTGCTGGACACTGGTGACGGTGCTACCGATGGAGGCCACGCTCTGCACACACACACATCAGTGTAAGCTCACGTCTCTCTCACTCACACACACACT